TGGGTTCCTCGTCATCGAAAACCTTAAAGAAGCTAGAATCATACTCTCTATGTGCTTTACTATATTTATAATTTTCACGTTATGAATAGTATATCAAATAAAAGTAGCTATGACCGTTTTATACATTTAAACATTGAAGTATATTTAGAACAGAAGTTTAAAACTTTGAAGGTTGAAGTTTAACAAGTTATCTTTTTTTATACATGATGTACAATATCAATCTCTTCATATTAGGTATTTTAATCATATCAATTATAGAAATGTTGCTATAAACATATAAAATATATATTATCATATTACATGACATTACCTACCAGAAACAGTCACCATATTTACTGACTGTTGTTAGTGTCATTTCCTGTGAAACAGTATCTACCAAATCATTTTACAATACAAGCACAGCCACACAGTTCTCTTTGGACTAATTTAGATTGATTGGTATGTTTAATTCTAGTTACATGGTGTATGTTTTTTTGAAACAAAAATAAAACATATCATAAACTGTAGTAAAGAATAAAAACTATTACAGAAAATATATTTGTTAACTGTATGAAAATAAACTGATAAATAATATACCTTTATTAACAAACAATGAGTGAGTGAATGTAATGATTTTTTTGTGAAAATCTGAATAACATAGATTATTTATTTATTTGTTTGTTTTAGTGCAAAGTCACATTGGATCAAACCCTGAATTTTAGCATTGTAAGCCCATAAACTTACAGCTGACCCACTGAGAGACAACACAGATTACTTCATTTCTTGAAAAAAGAATAAAAAATAAAGTTATGGTATCTTGTTAGGATTAGTTCTAAAGCACGTAAACTGTAATGCAAGTAATGAAAATCACAAAGACTAGTGCTTGCAGCACTCAAATTATAACCAGTTATAATTTAAAGAATTTTACATATGTAAAACAATACAACTTAAAAACTGTTTGCTACTCATATCTGTGGATATGATTTAATCATGTTTTATTGTGAGTCATAGAAAATAATTCATAACCTTTTAAATCGGTTTAAATTATATATACAGCTTAAGTAAACAAAAACTAGTAAAAGAATTTATATCTTTCAATTACACATACAATTTATTTGATAGACATACCGTTCTCTGTCCAAGAAAACTAGTGAAACTATAAAATACCTTAAGTGTTAATTTTATTTGACAATAAAGTTTTTGCCCATGATCTGAAAAATGTAATAATTAACAATGAGTTACATTTGAAAATGAAACAATAATGTATAAAGCCTCAGTCAAAAATATTATAGCTTTCAGATTCAAAATAAGTTATTTATAATCAATAACACAAAGCAACAGGGAAAACTAGTATCCTTTATTTAACACAGTGAGATTTCCAATCAGATTGTAGGAATTTGCTACAATAGAAACCTGAACCCAGAAATGGGATAAAGAAATGTCAAACTAATTCATTAAACTATCAATTTCCTGTTTTACTAAAATGTAGAACATATTCAAAACTATAAAGGAAACATGTCTATAATAGTTTCTGAAAGCAGCCTATTGTAAAATGAGCCCTGGAAAATTCTATCCAAACACTAGTTAAGATTTCAAAAATCTTGACGAATACTGGGGAAGTCTGGATTTTGTTAGTGTTCCATATGTAAGTTGTTTTATTGAACATGTGGTGAAGAACAGTAGTCAGAAGTTCAGGTTTAAATGGAGAAACGAACTTAACTAAATAATCCTTTAGCAACAGATGGATGTTATCTACTCCTTTGAAAAATATTTTTGTGAATTAAGTTATCAGCAGGGTTATGTTAAAAGATAAATATTATCAAATTTACTAAACATTTAAAATTCCCTCACAATTAAAAGTAAATTATTGTTGTTGAGCAATTAATCAATCTGTTCTGATAGAAAAATACATTTTAAAACTTATTCGTATTTGTTGTTTGTATGAACTCTGTTTACTTAGTACATTACATGTTTTCTGAACATTTACCAAGACATCATGCACAACAGCTTCAGTTGTACATTAGCTATTAGCAATTCTAAATTGTAAGAAGGAGAAAGAGCCAAAATTATATTATAAAAATACTTGCTAAATATTCACAAAATTTGCAAAGCCTATATATTGTTACGTCTCCGATTGTTAATTGATTTTCCGTAACTTCGTTCCGACGAAACTTAAACGACACAAGTTCTTTCTTAATAAAAACTGGTTTATTCTTTCCGAATACAACTTTACCAATACACTCAACTTTAACAATCGCGCTAAACAAACGCTATAACAACGAACGTCAATAATACTTCTGACTGCAGTTCAATTACTCACTATCTACACAGACAATACCTCGTCATGTTGTCCCCCTCTTTTATATACCCGACTACCCTATATCTAGTAAGAACTAGAACATTCGCCAAAGTACAGGATAATTCTAGAAAGCAGAGAGCGTGAGAATCACATGATCTCGATGACGCAACAATATATATATATATATACATTGAGAAGTAATTAAAAACTAGCCAAACAAATACCAGCTAGAAAAAAGCTTAAAATATATAAAAATGATTATAAGAAAAAAAAAGATTTGATAATATGTTGCAATATTTTGCAAATGTAATTTGAAGAAAATTAATAAAATATCTATATATTTATATACAAAGTCATTATTTTATTAACGGATGATTTTTAGTTAAATATAATATTCTTGTATGAGAACTAATGTACTTTCAATAACACCTTTAGAAACTAGGATAATTAATATTAATCATTTTTGACAACAAAGTATTTACAAGAAATTATGCACATGTGCAATTAATATACATTCAATAAACGTAAGTTGTTCTATACATTGTAAATCTAAGCTGACAAGCCCCTTCCCAGTGAAAACTGGAGTGAGGCAAGGCTGTA